GCAAGCTCTGGCAATCTTCCCTTATGCATTCCCTTGCACTCCCTTCTACACTCAGGTAAAGATTATCGACACATCCATTTGTGGGCCACTGACCGTAGCACTTGATTATGGAACCAAGTGGAAAGCCAAGGAGGCCAAATATAAGATCAACAAAATCTTGCCCAACCTCCGCATAGAGTGCTGCGGAGTTATCTGCAGTCTGAATAAGCTTTATCTTGATAACATTGAACTTATGTGCGTCGTTGCTTTCTTCCTTTGGGAACATATTTGCTGGGAGCTCATCTAGACTCACAGGCACAACATCCGGCGTGGCAACAGTATCAAAATACAGGCCAGTTAAAGGTTCCTTGGAGATCAATGTTCGATTGAGCAAGCTGATTACCTGTAAGAAACGGATATATTGATCACTTAAAATGAAATTCAAAGTTCAAACATCGGGTTTTGTTATTGTACTCAGTTTTTTTAAGGAACACTGGAGGGGCTAGGTGCCCCTGCAACCAAAACGATGCATTAAAATAAAAAGGGGGAAGCAGGAGGATCTATGGTGTTGGTTATTCTGTGTTTGCGGTGTTGGTTATTCATGTAACAAAACAATGTAAAACATGTGTTTGCTCCCTTTTTATATGATATGGCAGAGCTCCTGCCAATGTTTCAAAAAAGAAGCAGGAGGATCTATGGTACTCAGAAGTGACTGTGGATTGAGGATCTGGATGTTAATTATCACATATTACTTCCTTGGAGGTAGGAGTCTAGGAGAAATACGGAAACTATCTTGCAGTTGAGACTTGAGAGACTAACCTTGCTGTAATCGAGATGAAGAAACTCCTCCTTAATATCAGCTCTCTCATTTAGCCCAAACTTCTCGAGCAGTGAGAACAAGACATGTAGAAGCAGGAGCCACTTGGAGATCATCTGTTATGATTAGCGTCGGACCACTTTTGACAAAAACCCCATCAGCATCATATCCAACCGCAGCATTACCATTCCCGGGCAATTCCCGAAGCATACACTGCAGACCTTTACAACTTTTGCAAATAGCATTATGAACTGAACTGAAGACACGCTCATGGCAAGTCGTACTCCTGCAAACATATATTGATCTAGGATTTGTATTGTCAATCTTCACTTTAAGTCGACCGCACTGAGTTGCAGCAGAACTGAGGGGCTCAAGAAGCATGGTCTTGCAGGCCTCGGTCTGGAAGTGCTCTAGTTTGAGACTCTCGACGCTCTTGTACACCTCATCAAGGCACCCTACTCCAGATTGCTTGCCAAGAAGCCGAACGATGGTGCCAAGAGGCAGCGTCAGGAAACTGAAGAGCACGTCGACGAAATCCTTGTCAGATTCTGCAAACAACACCCTTTGCTTCTCCTTGTCGATGAACAGCTTCACTGCAACTGTTGGTACATAGCTCGACATGGTGTACGCGGGAGTCTGTACTCGGCTGTTTGCCTGTTCTAACTGGTGGGCAGGATCAGTTTTGCACGAGTTGCTGCCTGTGCAGTCCTTTAAATACCCTACGCAGGCAACGATTCAAGTTCGGCATCTGCAGATCTGATATCAAAGGGCGCTCAACGCTTCATATCACGAGCAGTCAGATATTCAATGGACGGTTCACACATGCAAAGTCGCATCGTTTTCCAGGAGACCAGGAGGTGGTCAGCCTCCTTGCAGAATTTGAAGCGATTTAAGCCGTGTTTTGGTTCTGCTGAAAAAGGTAGCCTCCCCTTGCCCAGTGACAAATTGGGGAGAAAAACGTGTTTGGTTTGTTTGCCATGTAGCCTTGTGTAAACGAGTTATTTCTTGCTGGGCTGGGAGAGCCAATTTGGCTCATCTCAATGAGGCATGGCCTTACCTTGCTAAGCAAGGCGAAGCAAAAGTTGTCTTGAATCCAAACATGCCTATTATTTTCTGTTTTTTTCTTCCATTTTACTACTTGAGTAAAATGCCCCGACGGTTCTTAAACTTAAGAGGCGGTATCATCTAGATCCCAAAGTTCTATTTTTTTTTATTTCTAGATTCCTAAACTTATCCTAGGCTTTAGCATTAGTCCAAACGGGTTTTGACCCATTCCATACGCTGACGTGGCGCCCTGACTCAGCGCTGATGTAGATCTGAGTTCGGTACCTAAACTTGCACAGCGGTGTTGTCTAGGTTCCAAACTTTTAACATTGCAAATCTAGGTCTCCAAACTTGCTAACTGGGTTGTATGAGGTTCCTAAAACTTGCATGACAGCGCCATCGGTCCCTAACTTCCAAAAATGTTGATCTAGGTCCCTAAACTTGATAATCAATCCACACACGAGGTCCAAATTACCATGCGAAGCCGTCTACGCATGGTTGTTGACTATGCACCTAGCATGTGGGGGCCTATACGCCCATCCCTCTCTCTCATCTCCTTCTCCACTCCTCGTGCAGCCCACATGTTGTCTCGTACGTTTTCTCATCTCCTTCCCTTCCCTGTTGTCTCTATTCGGTTAGTGACAACAACTCTCTACCCTTGGTCGGTGGCGTCTGCATCTGGACAACACCTTATAGAAAGGTCTTGCTAAAGCGTGAACCCGACCATCACTAGAGCCATGGGCGAGGATCCTGGCTAACCCATGACTGGCCACCATCGGGCCTTGGTCGTGACCAAGCCCGATAGGTGTGTTGGAGGATATGAGCGAGCTGTGTTGAGGCCAACTACCATCACTTTGGTCCTGATGGCATGCTCAGAGACGCTCTAGTTGTTGTTGGTGGTTTGCTATTGGTGTAGGTGCTAAGGCCACGCCGATGCAAGAGAAAGTGGTGGAGATGGCACGAGAGGGATTTGGGAAGGATTTGAGAGATAAGGACGACATGTAGACTCTACATGCTAGGTGCACTGTCAGCAATCACGCAAGCGGCTTATCACATGATAATTTAGACCTCATGTGACCCTATTAACAAATTTAGTAACCTAGATATGCAATCTGGGAATAGACCACACATCTAGCCTAGCCCAAAAAGGGTTCTGATAGCCTACCCACTTTAGACAGTAGAAGATAAGGATCACATGTGCACCTCACCTGCTAGGTGTACAGTCTACAGTCACACAAGTGGCTTATCACATAATAATTTGGACCTAGTGTGGCTCTATTAACAAGTTTATAGTAACATACAATCTTAGAATAGCCCACTCATGTGGCCTAACCCAAAAAGACTCCTGAGTAGCCCACCCATTTGAGACTGTAGAAGAGTCTATGCAAACCGGTCTCTTGGGCAGTGTGGTCCTATTAACAAGTTTAGTAACATACAGTTTTAGGTTGTGTTTAGTTGGCGAAAGTTTTTGGGAAATGGTACTGTAGCACTTTCGTTGTTATTTAGTAATTAGTGTCCAATCATAGTCTAATTAGGCTTAAAAGATTCGTCTCGTGAATTTCATCTAAACTGTGCAATTAGTTTTATTTTTTATTTATATTTAATGCTTCATGTATGCGTCCAAATATTCAATGTGACGGAAAATCTTGAAAAATTTTGCAAAATTTTGAGGAACTAAACATCACCTTAGTAACCTAGCCAAAAAGACTCAATAGTCCACCCATTTGAGACCATAGAAGAGTCCATACAAACTAGTCTCATGGGCAGTGTGTCCTATTAACAAGTTTAATACTTTCTCCATCTAAGTTTGACCACTCATCTTATTCAAAAATTTATGCAAAATATCACTTTTTTTGTCGTGGCTTGCTTTATTAATAAAATTTTTTCAAGAATGACTTAAATTTGACTATGTTTGCATAATTTTTTTAATAAGACGAGTGGTCAAACTTAAGGTTAAAAAAGTCAAACGTCTTATATTTGGAATGGAGAAAGTAACATATAATCTTAGAGAGTGTTCGGCTGGTACGATTCTGGAACTGTTCATGCTGGAATTTACTGTTCATATTAAAATTTTGTGAGTAAAAACACTGCTCCGGAAAAAAAAAAAGCAACCAACCAACCGAACACGGTCTTAGAATAGTCCATCCATGTGGCCCAACCTAAAAATACTTCTGAATACCCTACCCATTTTAGACTGTAGCTAGTCTCATGGGCAGTCGGCGCTGCGCAAGCTGATTTTGCCTCGAAACGCGCCGGCAGACGCGGGCGCCGCGCACGGCACCACGACACGAGTCGAGACCGGACCGCCGAGGCGAACCCGTTCCGCGGATCGTTGCCGTGCCGCTGCCGCTCGGCGCTCGCGCTCCGCACCACCAGGCAAGTGCGACTGTGCGGCGCGTCTGCCAGCCATCGAGCCTAGTCCGCGCCTGACTCTGCCTGCGCGCCGAACCATCGCTACCGCTACCCCGTACGTGCAAACCATCGATCGCTAGGCGCTGAGATCGCGTTCGGCACGGCACGGAAGCCGTATCCCGTCTACGTGCATCGTTTAGCCTGGACACAATCTCTGCGCGCGGGCTGGCAGCTAAACATGGGGAGTCATTGACTGCTTGCATGCACCATGACCGGCGTGGAGGATGCATGCATGGTATGGTATAGTGTGATGCACGGACGCGCCAGGTGAGCGATGAATCCTGCACGGCATTACGTCCCGGTACAGTTCCCACCGCGTAATTATGGGGAAACAGTTGGGTACATTGATCTTGTGATGAAATTTTCCTAAATTTAAAACACAAACAGATTGGAAGTTATCTTTCCACTTGGCGGATCAGCTGATCCAGCCATCCATCCATGGAGCGCCATCCGAGCTGGCCACTCGGTGGCCGTAGGATAGCTGATTCGGTGGAGGCAAAAACAGCACACGCGTAGCTTGAAATAGAGAAAGATCCAGTTACGCCTGGCCTGCCATTTGCCCAAGATACCCATTTGGACCCAAGATTCTCTCGTCTTCTCCAACAAACCACGAGCGATACGGATCTCCAAGGCGTGATATTTATACTGCCCCGTCCAACACACGCGCGCGTTATTCTAAACCCCAGCAGATCTGAACTGAAAAATCCTCCACCCTGCAGCAGGGCCTCGGAGGCGCCAAGCGGCGACGATGGAGATCGAGCGGCACCCGAGCCGCAGGGTTGCGGCTGTGGGCGAGGAGGACGACGGCGACGTGGTGCTGGTGGAGCAGGTCCGGCTGACCGTGCCGACGACCGACGACCCGACGCTGCCCGTGTGGACGTTCCGCATGTGGACCATCGGCATCGTCTCCTGCGCGCTCCTCTCCTTCTTCAACCAGTTCTTCGCCTACCGCACCGAGCCACTCATCATCAGCCAGATCACCGTCCAGGTCCATTGCATCGATCGTCAGGGTCACGATCGTCGTCTATCTCCTTATTACTACTAACATCTGATCTGATGGCGATGGCGTACGTGTGCGTGCATGCAGGTGGCGGCGCTGCCGGTCGGGCACTTCATGGCGCGGGTGCTGCCGGAGACGAAGCGCTCGGCGTTGGGCAGAGACTGGACGATGAACCCGGGGCCCTTCAACGTGAAGGAGCATGTGCTGATATGCATCTTCGCCAACGCCGGCACCGCGTTCGGCAACGGCGGCGCCTACGCCGTCGGCATCATCAACATCATCAAGGCGTTCTACAAGAGGAACATCTCGTTCGTCGTCGGCCTGCTCCTCATCATGACCACTCAGGTGCCGCCGGCCGTTTTGCATGCATGCATTGTGTTACCGCACGATCTGATCGATCGATTAGCATATATGCAACCGGACATTGTTGCTGTCCATTATATTTGTGCACGCACGCGTGTATAGGTGTTGGGGTACGGATGGGCAGGGCTGATGAGGAAGTACGTGGTGGAACCGGCGCAAATGTGGTGGCCGCAGAGTCTTGTGCAGGTTTCTCTCCTCAGGTGAGTGGGCACGGACTACTTACTGTACTGAACTGATGATGGCTAGCTGCATATCGATCACTGACAATCTACGTACACGTGCACGATCTTTCGAGTTCATCAGGGCGTTGCACGAGAAGGAGGAACGGCGGATGACGCGGGGCAAGTTCTTCCTGATCGCGCTCATCTGCAGCTTCGCGTGGTACATCGTCCCGGGCTACCTGTTCCCGAGCATAAGTACGGTGTCGTGGGTGTGCTGGGCGTTCCCCAAGTCGGTCACCATGCACCAGATCGGCTCCGGCATGAACGGCATCGGCATCGGCGCCTTCACGCTGGACTGGTCCGTCGTCGCCTCCTTCCTGCAGAGCCCGCTCGTGTCGCCCTTCTTCGCCATCGTCAACGTCTTCGTCGGCTTCGTGCTCTTCATCTACATCATACTGCCCGTGTGCTACTGGGCGTTCAACCTCTACAACGCCAGCACGTTCCCCATCTTCTCCACCGACCTCTTCACAGGCGCCGGCCAGCTGTACAACATCTCCGCCATCGTCAACGACAGCTTCGAGATCGACATGGACGCCTACGCAAAGCAAGGGAAGATCCACCTCAGCTTGCTGTTCGCCATATCGTACGGCCTCGGCTTCGCATCCATAGCCGCCACGCTGTCGCATGTCGCCCTGTTCTACGGGAAGTACGTGCACGAACACACGCTCTGTTGTTGGCCGTCGATCCACATCTGCCTTTTGCTGCTAGACTGATCACTCCCTGTATCGTGGTCTGTTTCTGTTCTGAAGGGAGATATACCAGAGGATGCGAGAGTCATACAAGGGCAAACCGGACGTGCACACGAGGATGATGAGGAAGTACGACGACATACCCAACTGGTGGTTCTACTTGCTGCTCGTGGTGACCATGGCCGTGGCGCTGGTGCTCTGCACGGCGTTCAAGAGCGAGGTGCAGCTGCCGTGGTGGGGGCTCCTCTTCGCCTGTGCCCTCGCCTTCTTCTTCACGCTCCCCATCAGCATCATCACCGCCACCACAAACATGGTACGTGTCTAGCCTACTTACCACACGATCCAACAATATAATTCCCAGTCGTGTTGAACGTGTGTTGTTTGCAGACACCAGGGCTGAACGTCATCACGGAGTACTGCATGGGGCTGATCTTGCCGGGGAAACCCATAGCCAACGTGTGCTTCAAGGTCTACGGCTACATGAGCATGAACCAGTCCGTCTCCTTCCTCACCGACTTCAAGCTTGGCCACTACATGAAGATCCCGCCGAGATCCATGTTCCTAGTTCAGGTACATATATACTGCACATTTCGCTCTCGATCTCTCTCTTTGATCGATCAGTGGCCAATTAACTGCATGCAGTTGATGTCTGATCAAGCAACTCAGTGTTATGTTTGGCAATTAATATATCCTTCGTTCAGTTGATCGGGACGCTCGTGGCGGGGACGGTGAACACGATAGTGGCGTGGTGGCTGCTGACCACGGTGCCGCACATCTGCGAGAAGGAGCTCCTCCCGGAGGGCAGCCCGTGGACGTGCCCCGGCGACCACGTCTTCTTCGACGCGTCCGTGATCTGGGGCCTGGTCGGCCCGCGCCGCATCTTCGGCCCGCTGGGCTACTACAACGCCCTCAACTGGTTCTTCCTCGGCGGGCTCATCCTCCCAGCGGTCGTGTGGCTCCTGGCCAGGGCGCTGCCGGGGCACGCCTGTTGGATCAGCCTCATCAACCTGCCCGTCGTCCTGGGCGCCACGGCCAACATGCCGCCGGCGTCGCCCATCAACTACACGGCCTGGTGCTTCGTGGGCACCGTGTTCAACTTCTTCGTGTTCCGCTACCGCAAGGCGTGGTGGAAGCGCTACAACTACGTGCTGTCGGCGGCCATGGACGCCGGCGTGGCCATCATGGGGGTCGTCATCTACTTCGCGCTGTCGGGACACCCGCTCGACTGGTGGGGGTCCAGGGGCGAGCACTGCGACCTCGCCACCTGCCCCACGGCCAGGGGCGTGCTGGTGGACGGCTGCCCCGTCCTCTGATGATGATGATCAGAATACCAAGAAATACCTGCCTGCCTAGAGGTCCAGATGCGTGTATGCAGATTTATTTATATATATTGTTGGTATTGGCTCTTGAGTCTTGACACCATCGTATTCAATCTGTACATATATAGATTGTGAATTGCCATTGGACCTTGAAAAAGTGCCATTGAGTGTGGTATTGGTATGGCGTATGCAAATGTTCCCGTGCTCTTGATCTTCTTGTCTGCTTTGTTCTGTTTGCATTTGTGAATTTGTCCTCCAATTCAGCGTATGCAAAACTTTTGCCATTAGTTTTATCAAAAGGAAAAAAATAAAAACAAGTGTCCCTGATTTAGAAACTGTTTCGTTGTGCTCCTATGCAATGCTGCCTGGAATCTCAAGCAACCGATTTCGGTCGACTGGTCATCGAGCCAGTTCTGAATCTCTTGGCTATGAACTTCAGGGATCAGAAACCCCCAATAGTTTTGGCATGTTTCAGTTACTACAAAACTGAAAACTACACAATTTTGCCACATGAATCAAATCTGCCACAATTTTTTTAAGACCCGAGGTAAACCCCATTTCCATTCAAACGTAAATACAAGTCATTCAAACGGAAATGCAAGTCATTCATCAAAAGAAATACAAGTGTATGTGGATAGTAGCGACAAACCAGACAGCACTCACAAGACGACTCCTCGCACACAACAAGATAGCAAAGAATAACTCGACCAGACTCAAACTTCATCTGCCTTCCTGACACAAGTCCAAATTTGCCACAAATTGAATGCATATACTTTTCGAGAACGTGAAGAAGACTGCACTGAATGACTGAACTAAAAATTGCCATCAGGTAGAAGAACCCTCCCTGCCTCGTCTTTGGAACTTAGTAGCGGTGACGAGGCCATCTCTTTGGTTTGGTTGACAAGCAGGCGAGGGTCAGTGCATCGCGAGAGATCAATGCAGCCCTCAACAGGTTGAGTGCCTGCGAAAAACAATTGTCACGCAAGTAGATTTGTGGTGTGCAAACATGAAGATAGAAAAAATGTTACTCTGATCACCTCCACTTGTGTGAATGTGACCTCTGTTGTCTCAAGCTTTGACACGGAGAGTTCCTTGCCCTTCAGTTCGTGCAAGGCGTTGGTTAGCGAGAATGGAACCACGCCAAGTCCATAAGTTACCAAGAACTCGCCTGGTCCTTTTGCGTAGCCACCACCGATCTCTGTTGTCAAGGTTGGCACCTTGGGATTCACTGCCAACAATTTCGTGTTGTCGTGGGAGCATTTCATTTTTTCAAGCACCAAATGACTACAGTTTCTTATGCAAGGAGAACAGAAAGTGACAGAAGATACAGTTGGGGGCTCCTCATCACTTTCATCTATGCAATCAACCAGGTTTAGTTCCACACTCCTATAGAGGTTATCAACGCATGAGATTGATGAGCTCGCTCCAAGGAGCTTGATCACGTGCCCAAGTGGTAAGGTCAGGAAACTGAACAGAAGATTGCAAAATTCTTCACCCACCTCTGCATGTACTACCGATTGATCTGTTTTTGCCACGAGAAGTTTCACTTTAATGACATTAGAATCTGATCCTGAATCGTCCTCAGAACTAACATAGGCATCCATAAAAAAAAAAAAACTCGACCGGTGAGGGAAGAACCGCCCTCACGGCAATGTCATAGAAAGGGACCATATGACCCCGGTCAAGAAAACCCCCGAACCCTGGCACATACCCCGAAGGGCCGAGTGAACCAGGACAGATCATCAGGCCGGTGTTGCCAGAGGCGCACCATTGCCGACGTAGTCACCAGGCTCGCGTGCACAGCAAGGGGATTTTTTTGGGTGGGTACCGGAAATTCTGCCCCCACCGGGGCTCGAACTCCGGTCGGCAGGCTGAGGCGCCTGACCAGTCGAGCCGAAGCTCGCTCCCAACATAGGCATCCATAGAGATGGCCTCATCTGTCCTTGTGGATTCGTGAGATGGATTGAATATTATATCAGTCAGGGGTTGATCAGACGTCAGTATTTGCTTAAGTAAGTTTCTGATCTGTTGATAAAAGAGGAAAATGACAAAACTCAAGACCATGCATGCGTGCTAAGATAATTTGAAGAAAATGTTCGCAAAAAAAAAAATAGTAATGTCAAGCAGGCATCAATTAGTACTAACCTCCTCCAAGCCAAGTTCCAATGTCTTCTCTTCAAGGATGTCTACGTCCTCAACTCCCAAGTCACGTAAGAGCAACATGAGATTGTCCGTATCAGCAGGCACAACTTGCAGATCATCTGTAATGCCATAGCTCATCCCACCTCTTACAAAAACCCCATCATCTTTGGCTTCCCTGTCTCCCTTGGTCCAACTCGACCAAAGGACCAAGGATTCCCCACACTGCCCGCACGGCACATCTCGAACTGAACTATAGTAAAGCGTATCAGTGACGCACTTAGGCTGCCTGCAAACCCTAATTGCCCTGTGGTTCGTGTCGTCAATCCTGACAACAAGATCCTCGCACAACTTCCCGGCAGCGCTGAGGGGCCTGAGCAGCATGTTCTTGCACGCCTTGGTCTGGAAATGGCTCGCGTCAAGGCTCTCCACGCTCTTATACAACTCATCGAAGCAGCCTAGAGATGACTCCTTGCCCAGCAGCCGAACAATGGTGCCCAGAGGCAGAGTGAGGAAGCTGAGGAGCACGTCCACGAACTCCTTCCCGGACTCTGCAAACACCACCTTTTTCTTCTCGTTGTCCACTAGGAACTTGACCCGGATCTTGCCAGTTCCAGCAGGCCCAGCTCCGGCCATGGATATCGGCGACTGAATGTTCATTCAGAGAACCTGAAGCTTTGTGGGAGGGTTGAATGGAGTGCTTGAGTTAGGATTCAGAACCCACCTAGTTTTATAATGTCGTGATACCTTCAGAGCAGTCTCTTCATATCCAGTGCTCCACTTTAATGGCAACATATCATATGCAAACCAACCAATATGTGCAAACTTAAAAACTACCAATCAGGACCACTAGATTCTGATCCGATGGATGGGGTGAGAGGTGGAACGATTTTGCGCTTAAGCCCCCCCACCTGCCGCCTTTTTTCCAAAACCCCCCTGGCGATTCAAATGCACCTACGCCAGACGGTTGCATCGCGATCAAGCGAGCCGCGACTGCGCCGCCAGACTCTTCCGCCGTCCATGCGCCCGGCCTGATCAGGTGCTCTGCGTTCCTCGCGTGCCGGCCTTGCGTCCTCACCAGTGCGCCGCCAGAATCTTCCGCCGCCCGTGCGCCTGGCCTGATCAGGTGCTCTGCGTTCCTCGCGTGCGGCGTGTGTGAGTTCCTTTTCGTGACCTTTCTTTTTGTTTTCGTTTTCGTGGCCCGGTTTCCTTTTCGTTTGATTGCAAGTTCCATCAATCTGATTGCTAGAGAACGTACTCTCACTGTTGATGCCGTCACTATAGAACGACGGCGACAGCCAACAACAGCAGGCATGGACAGGGAACGACGCCCTCTCTGAAGCCGTCACTGTTGATCCCGCCGTCGCGGGACTTATAGGAAGAAGTTTTGAGGCCGCCACCATGGATCATTTGAAGCCTGTGGTTGGAATGATATTGGATACACTTACATATGTGGAGAAATTTTACAAATCGTATGCACATGAAGCTGGTTTCTCTGTTCATGTTGGTCAGCACAAGAAGCAAAATGATGAAATATTATTCAAGCGGTATTATTGTTCAAGGGAAGAGTACAGAAAGGAGAACATAAAAAATGTTACTGACGAATCTAGAAAAAGAGAATGACACATAATGTGATGGAAACCAGATGTGGTTGTGAGGCACATATTGTTGTCAAGCTTGACAGTGACAAGAAGTATCGAATAGCTTCAATGGTTGAGGAGCACATCCATGGTTTTGTGTCATCAGATAAGAGGCATTTGTTAAGATCCAACCGCAATGTTAGTGAAAGGGCAAAGAGTACCTTGTTCAGTTGTCATAAGGTTAGCAATGGCACCTCACAGGCATATAGACTTCTCCATGTCAGTGAGGATGGGTTTCAGAATGTTGGGTGCACGCTGAGGGATTTGCAAAGCTATTACCGTGACCTCAGGAGCAAAATCAAGGATGCAGATGCACAAATGTTTGTGGCACAACTTGAGCGAAAGAAGGAAGTAAACCCTGCCTTCTTTTATGACTTTATGGTGGATGAACAAGGACGACTTGTTCGTGTGTTTTGGGCAGATGCCTTATGCAGGAAAAACTATAGTGTTTTTGGTGATGTGGTTTTGGTAGATTCAACATACACCACTAACCAGTATAACATGATTTTTGTGTCATTTACTGGAGTCAATCATCACTTGCAAAGTGTTTTCCTAGGGGCAGCTGTCGATGCGGGACCCACAGGATACCCCGCAAGAGAGAGAGAAGATCTAGTTCAACTAGGGTTCTTCCCATGTAATCTTAGTAATAGAACTATTAAGTAATCCTACTAGGAAATCTCATTGTAAACCGATTAGGACTCCGGCCTCCTGAATATATAAAGGAGGCCAGGGCTCCTAAAGAAGAGGACAATTGGTACGACATAACACTTCATAATCAATCCAACGCAAAAGGCAAACGCCGACTGGACGTAGGGTCGTTACTCGATCTACGATCGAGGGCTCGAACCAGATAAATCGATTGCCTTGCGTTCACCATCGAAGTTCAACATACGCCGAGATCCGAACGATACTGCCACGGTACCCCCGTGGTAGGCTATCGGTGGTAAAACATCGACAGCTGGCGCGCCAGGTAGGGGCCTTCGGTGACTTTGCATCCGAGAGCTCGATGGACCTCAATAACATGATCTTCCCGATGGGATCGATTTTCATCTTTGGCTCGTGGATCTGCGAGGCAGACAACTATGGCAAGCTTCAAAGTCATCTCCTCAAAGATCCGGATCATCATGAAGAATCCTCTATTTCGACAACTACGACGGATCAACTCATCGGAAGATTCGCGCAGACTCATAATACCCGATTCAATAAGATTCCATCCGACTCAATTCAAGCTCCGTATCCGAGATGGAGTCTTATTCGAGTGCTTTCAAGAAGTCGAGTTCTTGTTTGGCAAGATTCCAGAATACAAACCAAAACAACTCGGATTACCCTCAGAGTTTTTTCAAAAGGCCGAGTTCTTTTCCATTTGGGCTGGACAACACGACAAAATCCTATCGGGACGCTTTGAAAGGTCTTTCAAATCAACACTTGGGATACCAGCGACAGAGCTCGGGAGGGCCTCGTTCTAACGATAACATCGCAAGACCAGTATCATCCAATCGGCGAGGATCTGTTCCTCGAGGATAGCGAAACCCAACTAGTCGGCACAACGACAACAAACTATTCTACCTTACCAAGAGGGAGACTCAATCTCGACGCCGAGGCGCACATCAAGTCATCATCAAGAACTCCGACAAAGATGACAACTAACGACAATAACGGAACAGCTCACGCATGCGGGAAGTGCTGATGGTTCGACGCCCTCGCCGCCATTAAACCCCCCGAAGCACCCGATGTCGTCATCGATGAATCGAGATCCAACATATCACCCTTTGCTCGTGGCTACGATGGAAAAACGAAAGTCGAGAGGCAGGCTCAAGAAAGGAAAAACAAGTTGAAACAAGGGCGCCAAAGACCGCGCTCGACAACAAAGAGAGAAGCTGGACTAGATACTGAGTCGAATTGGTGAATACGACAAAAGAAAATCACAACAAGAGGCCGAAGGGAGACGCACAAGAGTACGCCTTACGATAAGATTCGAGAAGCATTAGAAGAACTCGGGCAACTTCACATCACGGGAGAAGTACGAACAGCTCCAGGACTTGCTCCGGTCAACGATCCCAAGAACACATGAAGAGAGAACCCGATCAAGAATACCTGCCAGATCAACAACCCATAGGCAAGAAGATCAAAATCAAAGGAAGTCCGCTTTTGAAAGACTTGGACCAGGGCGGAAGCCATAACGGGAAAGCGGGAGGGAACATAGTCGGGGCCATCAATTTGAACAACCAAGGAAGACCAGGAGTAGAGGGCCTACCTGCATGACCTCATGCAGAATTATTCCCATCAAAATAGCACTTGGCCGTAAGAAGGAGCCGAATCCGAATTCAAGGAAGCCGGAACGCATGATAGATTCCCCTGTTTTGCAAACAGGTTGGCATCAGTTCGATTACCTCACAAATTCAAACCGTCTAATCACTCCAAGTATGATGGCAAAACCAAACCAAGACAATGGCTCGTAATATATTCACAATCAATTGAACTAGCCGAGGAGACGATGATATTAAAACCTTGTTCTTCCCCATGGCACCGGAAACGATGCCCCTCCAATGGTTTGATAAATTGAACCCGTGGATCGATCGAACTTGGGAAGACTTGCAAAGAGCTTTCTGCGAAATTTCGCAGTATCATCACACACCCGATCACTCATGCCGAATCGAAAGGACTCAAGCAAAAGGGGCGAAAGTCTCGAAATTACTATCGGCGATTCGGTGAATCTGCGGGCTCAAGTGCATGACATCACCGAACGAGAAGTAATTGAAGCTTTCTCTCATGGAATCATGGCTAGGTGGCAATTTCAAGATTTCGCAAAGAAAATCCGAGAAACAATGAAGAATTCGTATTTAACAAGAGAAAAAATGATTACTGCGCAGAAGAAAAACACGAGAAAGGTTCCCTGATAGAAGCAATCAAGACAACCCGGATAGGCAAAATCATCGAAACAACAGACATCAAGAAAGAAAGCGAGGCGGACAATACCGTGGCAATGGCCGACAAATCAAAGAAGTTTTCTAAACCCAAGATATGAAGACATTGAAAACATCGTTGCCCATTACACCCTAACGGAGACACACCATCGGAACTCGCTACACTTTCAATGATCGATACACGAGAAAAGATAGTAAGGAGAACACCAAAGAGGACAATCACAAGAAAGACGAAGACAACCACGAGGACAAAGGATTTCAAAAACCTGTGGAACGGTAGCGATAATCTTCTCAGGGAGCTCCAGTTGCACAAGCAAACGCGTCAAGAAAAACTAGCACTACGAACCATCATGACAGCGAGAACCGGCTACACCAAGATATCTCAATTGGTCACAATATCCAATCCAATTTTCAAGAGAAGACCAATGGACTAGCGTAGGGAACGCAGCCATTACCCACTGGTTTTAGACCCAACTATTGGCCGGGATGACTGTCACCAAAGTACTAATCGATGGGGAGCCGGACTCAACATCATCATTTCGAAACTCTAAGGAAGATGGGACTACAACTCACCGGGATGATTACACCAACAAGCACTCCCTTTTACGGAATAGTACCCAGCAAAGCAGCCATGCCACTCGGACAAGTTACTTTACCCGTCACTTTCGGAACTCCTGCGAACTATCGAACAGAGTTTATCAAATTTGAGGTTGCGGACTTCGATTCGTCATATCATGCGATCCTCAGACGCCCAGCACTGGCAAAATTCATGGCAATACCACATTACCCGTACTTATTGCTTAAGATGCCAGACCCAACGGTATCCTTTCTCTTGAAGCGATTTGAAGCGTGCTTTTGATCATGACGTTCAGCGATCCAAATTGCGGCAAAAGGCACGAGCCGACAATGGGAGAAAACAAATAGCCACAATTGCTGCAGAGATAAGCCAAGAAGAATTAGAAATACCGGCTAAAAAGCCCAAAGATCATCACACCACCAAAAGAAGCCGACGTCAAGCAAATTGATTTGGGCAATCGGCGATACCTCCAAGACAAAGAACCATCGCTGCTCACCTCTCGGCAAAATAGAACTCAGC